AGAGGGCTTTAATGTCACTGAATTTCAGTGTAACAGGAAGGTCTCAGGCTAGTGGAGCCTGGCTGAGGAGCCTGGCTTCCTGAAAACTGCCTGGAGTGGTCAGGGACCAACTGCTGGTGGGAGGCAACCCACCAGCCTGCCTGGGCCAGTCCCAGTCTGCAGAAGCATGGGGTGACTGTCCACTAAGGAGGGTTCCTGGGGTCTCTGCCCCACAAGGGCAGCCAGAAAGTGGAAAGTGTTAGTCACTCAGTCGTGTCTGATTCTTTGTGACCCCATGGACCGTAGCTCACCAGCTTCCTCTGTCCATGGGATTTTCCAGGCAAGAATACTGGAGTGGGTTGCCATTTCCTTCTCCGGGGGATCTTCCTGACTCAGGGATTGAAACTGGGTCTCCTGCATTGCGGGCAGAGTCTTACTGTCTGAGCCACTGTCGGGGAGTGGTTCCTATAGGCTCTGTCCCACAAGGGGAGCCCAGCTAAGTCCCAGTTGCAGAGTTGAGAGGGCCTGGGGTGCCCCCTTGAGGTTCTCTCATGTTGCTGTTTTTATTCAGCAGGTCAATCTTGTCTGACTTTGCAGCCCCATGGACTGCAACACACCAGGCTTCCCTGTCCTTCACTGTCTCCCAGAATCTGCTCAGACTCATGTCCATTGAGTCAATGTTGCCATCCAACCATCTCATCCTCTGTCTCCCACTTCTCCTCTTGCCTTCAATCTTTCCCAGCATCAGGGTCTTTTCCAATGAGTCAGTTCTTCTCATCAGGTGGCCAAAATATTGGAGCTTCAGCTTCAGCATCAGTCCTTCCAATGAATATTCAGGGTTGATTTCCTGTAGGATGGACTGGTTTGATCTCCTTGCTGTCCAAGGGACTCTCAAGAGTCTTTATAAAGCACCACAGTTCAAAAGCATCAATTCTTCAGTGCTCAGTCTTCTTTATGGTCCAACTCTCACATCCGAACATGACTACAGGAAAGACCATAGCTTTGACTATAGGGACCTTTGTCAGCAAAGTAATGTCTCTGCTTTTTAATATGCTGTCTAAGCTTGTCATAGCTTTTCTTCCAAGGAGCAAGCAACTTTTAATTTCATGGCTGCAGTTACCATTCACAGTGATTTTGGCGCCCAAGAAAACAAAGTCTGTCACTGTTTCCATTGTTTCCCCTTCTATATTCCAAGAAGTGATGGGTTGTCACTGAAGCTGGGGCTCCCTTCACTCCAGCCATTACCGGGGTGGGGGATGGGTGCACCAAGCTATAGGTCCACCTTTAACATGAGCCTGCAGCTATGACCCTGGGCTTGTCAGGCAGGACTAGCAAGCATGTTCCTCAGGACAGCCAGGAGCCCACGTGTGATGGAGAATCTTATGTGTCAGTTTTACTGGGGCACAGGATCCCCAAATATTCAATCATATATTTTTCTGGGTGTGTTTGTGAGTGCTCTTGGATGAAATGAACATTTAAATTGCTAGACTGAGTAAAACAGATTGCCTTCTGTAATGCCAAAGGCTTGAACAGAACAAAAAGGTTGACCCTCTCTCAGATTAAGTGAACTCTCCAGGCTAAATGTTGAGTGAGTCCACGCTCATGCTCAGTCGTGTCTAACTCTTTGTGACCCCATGGACTGTAGCCCACCAGGCTCCTCTGTCCATGGGATTTTCTAGGCAAGAATCCTGGAGTGAGTTGCCGTTTCCTCCGCTGTCTCCTGCATTGCAGGTGGATTCTTTACCCGCTGAACCGTTAGGGAAGCCCTTGTTGAGCAAGAACACTGGTCTTTTCCAGTCTTCAGACTCAGATTGAAACCTGGGCTCTTGCAGGGTCTGGAGTCTGCCAGCTTTGGGGCTAGAAGTACACATTGGCTCTCCTTGGCTCCAGCTCATCCACCAAAGATCTTAGGACTTGTCAATCTCCTTAATCACCTGAACCAACTCCTTACCCTAAATATGTATTTCCTGTTGGTTCCTCTGGAGAGCCCTAAGACTCCATCCACTATGTACGCAACACATTTCCCATGTGTAAGGGGACAGCCCATTTTCTCTCTCCCCATGCCTTCTGCCCTTCTCTAATAAACCTGGACCCAGAGTTTCTGTTTATATGGTTCAGCCTGCCTAGATCCCTCAATCAGCCATTAAAAAGCCAGCATCTGGATGTATGAATGCCCTTGTCCCAGCCAGTCAGCATCCTTGAAAGACCACACCAATGATCCCTCTCCTCCTGCCCCTGAGCAGAGCAAAATCACAAGATTGACTGGATCTTTGAGATCTCTGGGATAAGCTGGGTCCTCAGATAATGGGTTAATGCCTCTGAGGGCTCACTGTCTATCTCTCTTCCTAACACTGTCCATCCCCCAAGGTTGAACTCGACCTTTGCCTGGCCATTCTCACCAAATGGTCTTGCCTCCACTTCCTTGAGAAAAGCATTTGACAGAAGTTCCTGCAATGTCCCTTCTCTCCCCCATTCAAAGTGTCTCTGAATCTTGATTCATCCTTTTCTCTCTCCCTCCAAAACAAAAAGGGTCCTTAAGCCCCTGATATAAAAGTTCCTGAGGGTACAGTGTCCACAGACAACTTAAATCTACACATGGAGATAAGGTCCCAAGGTTCTGCATGGTCATTTGGGAGCAGCAACACTTCACTGGAGTGGTTTCTGCCTCTAGTCTTCTTCCCATAGGATGATCTCAGGGGACCAGCCCTGGCTAAGGCAGACTGCCCCCCCACCACCACCACCAAGCACCCAGAAGGCAGGCCAGAGCCCAGGGCAGCCTCTCGAGCAGGTCCCTCATGCCATGCAAGACCATCCCTCCAAACTAGGCTTTTCCCATCTGGTCCTCCTTCCTCCCTTGAAGACAATTAGCCTTGTTCTCACTTGTATATTCAATCTTTCTTTCTCCTCCAGATCCTTACCCTTGGTTTAAAATACACTTAAAACTCTTCCAGCCTAAATTGTCCCCATCTCAATCCTGCTGTTCCCTCTGATACTGCTTTAAGAGTCTTCTTTCCTTCCCAGGCAGTTTCTTGGAGAGAGTAGCCAGGACTCTTACCATGAGTCAACCTGACCCTTCCCTCACTCTTGAATTCTGGCTTCCATATCCAACCCAACCTCAAGTCCACTGGCACTGCTCTACAGGGACTGCTAAACATCTAAGTCATCAAATGCAAGAATCACTTCAATCCTTCTGAGGTTGGCTCTTCACCTGCGTTTGGGGTGTCAGCTTAAAAAATATTCACAACATAAAAGTTAAAAGTTATGTTTTATTCAATGAGAATTTTTAGGACTTCAAGCCCAGGAGGCAACATCTCAAGCAACCCTGATAGAACTGCTCCAAGGAGGCCAGGCAGGGGGCCAGGTTATACAGTTTTGTAACAAAGGGCTGGTAAATCTGAATAACAAAATATTTTTGTTAATTAAAGGAAACCAGACATCTCAAGGAATTTAGCACTTTTATTTGTATGGGAAGATGCAAGAGTCTAGGCTCACTGAAATCATTCCTTTGATATGCATCCACCTATCTGGGGCCAGTATTCTGTGTTTTCACATCCTGAATTTCCTCAGGGCTCACAATGGGGCGTGGCTACAGTCAGAGGCTTTTAAATGGCAGGTATTCTTTCCTTCCTAAATTCCCTCAAGCTCATCAGCTCACCGTCAGTGGTGGCTGCAATCGCTAATGGCTGTGACTTCCTTTGTTTAGTGATATGTCAGGAAATATTCCATTTCTCGAAGGGAATGGAAAGAAAGAATGTACCCAAAATACCCACAGGAGAGCAGGATTATGGGAATTCTAATCACAAAAGGTAAATCCAAGGAGAAAGCAGTTCTTGGGCATGAGAGTCCGGGCTAAGAAGTTCAACCTCACCCACCCACCTTGCCAGCTGGAAGCTGGCACATGATCCAACCAAAGGAATTGACAAGTTTCCTCATAGGCAGATGTTATCATACCCCTCACACAATAAAGGAAACTGAGGCTCCAGAAGTTAAAATAAAAGCCCTCAAGATTGCCCAAAGTTACACAAGGAGTGAGGATCAGAGCTCCTTCCACACATAGTGTTGCAGAAACCAGTAATCAAGAAATCAAGCACCACACTCGGAGAGTTGGAGAGCTCAGGTGTGTTAAGCCAGCGGGCCCAGAGGAGTTAACTCTCCAAGCTCTTAGCCCCAAACAAAGGAGTTACAGAGTTTTTATAGACAGACTATAGTGGACAGCACTAGCTGCCAACAGGCTTGTTTAAACTAAGGTGTTTCACATGTGCGGGAACAGCGGTCAAAACGGGGAGATGAATGGCTGACCTTTATATGGACAGGCATGATTAAGCAGGATTGCAGGGGCTGGGCAATTGCAAAGAGCAGGACAAGGGTGTGCGAGATAAACTCTAGTTCCTCGGATTGTAAGTCCCCACTTTCAGAGACTACATGACCTACATGATCCAGACTTTGCAAGGAGCAAACTGAGTTACAGAGGCAGAATGAGCAGGAGGTTATGTAAAATTTTAACTTTTCCTCTTCACTAATATATTCTATAAAGTACTTATTTGTCTCTCTCTACTAGAATGTAAACTTTTCAAAGACAATGGTCTTTGTTTTGCTCTCAGATATCTCCTAAAAGTGTCTGGCACATATTCAAGTTGTTTAATGAATGATACACTGTATGGACACCTTAGGATGCATTCAAGAACAAAGCCCTTTCCTTGATGCCAATTATCCCAATGAAGTGCCAGCTGCGACCTTTGCACCGCTCTCTGGCTCCATCTGGTGGCAGTCTCTCTCTCCTCCCAGGGCGGTCCCAAGTTTACTCGGAACTTCTTAGCTTGGGTCTCGCTGAGTGCGCATCGGACCAAAATCAAAGAGCACAAACTCCGAGCAGGAAATTGAGGAAATTGTAACTCTGAGAGGCATCATCAGTAGCCAGTAAGCAGAAGCACTTAGTTCACGTGGTGCAGGTTCAGCCTATGGCGCTCCTAATGTTCTCTAACTGGCTCTCTTCCGGCTCTGGCTCCTTCTCTCTCGACAAGATGGCCACACCGGCAGTACCGGCGAGCGCGCCTCCCGCCGCCCCATCCGAAGCCCCAGCTGCGGCCTCATCTCCGGCCTCGGCCCCGGCCCCGGCCCCAGCTTCAGCCTCGGCCCCGGCTCCAGTGCCGGCTCCGGCCCCGGCTCCAGCGCCATCGCCGGCTCCCGCGTCATCCTCAGACCCGGCAGCGGCTGCCACTGCGGCTCCGGGCCAGACCCCAGCCTCAGCGCCAGCCCCAGCACAGACCCCCGCACAGTCTCTGTCAGGCACTGCTCTCCCAGGCCCTTTCCCTGGCGGCCGCGTGGTCCGGCTGCACCCGGTCATTTTGGCCTCCATCGTGGACAGCTACGAGCGACGCAACGAGGGAGCTGCCAGAGTAATCGGGACCCTGCTGGGTGAGTGGTCAGGGGAAATTGAAGTTCTCTTTTACTTCCCACCTCCTTTTATCTTGTTCCCCTCTATTCTCACTCCCTTGTAGTTACTTGCTGAGTAAGTATCGTGTGCCAAGTGACTAACATTTTATTTTTAATCTTCGCAGTAGCATTTCGCTTCAAGTATGATTAGTCCCAATCACCGAAAAATGTGTTCACACCCTTACTGGGACGTCAAAAACCTTTGACTCCCTAAACCCAAGTGACCAAGTTTTTTCCCCTTCCCTGCTACTGGTCTTTATTTTCCGAGTGTTAACCGAGAAGTTTTTTCTAACTAGTTGGCAACGGAGTGGGGACATCTTGTAGAAAAATATCCCTCTCAGCAAGTAAACAGTTTGGCAAGAACCCATTTGAATTTCAGTATTCTGCTTAAACGTCTAAGCCTGATCCTTGTTTCCTCGCTCTGTCTAATACTAGTCACCAGTGAAATATAGACCCCCGTTTCCCCAGTGTAGCCTCTGATTCTTCATTTGGACACAAACAATTAATACAATACAAATTTATTCTTTGTATTAACCATCACATGGAGAAATAACGTTTTTCCCTGCCATGTTCCAAATTTGAGGAATGGGTATTTTATGTTAGAGTAAAACCAAGAAGCCCAAAAAGGGATTTCTGACAATGTATTCTTTTCTCTGGGGACTTCTGTTCCCATCAAGTTAATTTTCACTCCATCTTGGTCACAGATATGGGGCACTTTTGTGATTCCACTTTAGTCGCATTTATGCTTTCTCTTTCTTAACCCTTGAACGTGTAATAGTTTCCATTGTAGAAGACAATTGGTGTATTGAGAAGAGGACAATAGTTGTAGCCAGACTTCTGCAAACATTAGGGAAGTCTCTTTCCTTCAGGGACTTGCTGAAGACATCTGACTGTGCTGACACAGACTAGGTATGAAGCAGCTGTTGGTTGCTGTCATCCACCACATCAGGCACACTCCTGACACACACATTCTCTCTCTTATCTTTGAGACTGTAGCATTTTACGGAAACTTTAGTTGATTCATTTTTACAAACATTGCCATAGCTATCTCAAACCAAGCCTTTGTATTCTCTTTGCTTGTTCTCCCTATTTTTTTCCTTGAAGTTCCATTCATTTTCCAGGTTCTCAGGAAAAGTTTTCACTCTGTCCTTCATCTCCCATACCCCCACCCTCACCTCTATTCATAATCTCCCAAAGTGTGAAAATGTTAGTCACTCAGTCCTGTCGGACTCTTTGCGACCCATGGACTGTATGGTCTGTAGCCTGCAGGCTCCTCTGTCCATGGAATTCTCCAAGAATACTGGAGTCGGTTGCCATTTCCTTCTCCAGGGGATCTTCCTGACCCAGGGATCGAACCCGGGGCCTCCTGGTTGTAAGCAGATTCTTTACAGTCTGAGCCACCAGGGGGGTCCCAATCTCCGACAGTATGCCAGAATTCTGTCACGATGCCCTGCCTTGAGCTTCTATAATAAATGACTCTTGCATCACTGACTTGGCTCTCAAGAAATACTATTATATTCTTTAGGCTACACTGTCAGATTTCTCAAATTCACTAGATCTGTTAACTAAAGAAACAATTCTCAATTCTCCACCCTAGATTTGTACTCGGTGCCCCCAGATATTGCAGTGACCCGAGTTAGACCAACTGTAATCTAGATTTTCAGCTCCTCTTCCAGAATGGAATCATGGTACAATGCTAGATGTTACAGAGGCAATGCTTACTGAAGAATGAAGCACAGAATCTGCTTGCTAGGAATATAGAAATTTTAAGTTAGAAAGCAATTCATGGGACATATTCCATTTGGTTAAATCACTAGTACCTTTTATGTGCCATAAAACTATTAGATACTTAGAATTCAAAGGCTGATAAAACGAATGCTACTCTTAACCTTAGATTCAAGATGAAGATATACTCTTATATGCAAGTAACTGGAGTATAATGAGATAAATGCTTTAATAGAAGGGTGCCATAATGGCATGCAGATACAGAAAACTTGACTATTTCAGAAGCTCAGAGTGGTCAAGTCTGTTAACAAAAGGTCAAATAAGATATAGAGTATGTATGCATACTATTATATATAAAATAAACAACAAGGACTTACTGTACAGCGTAGGGAACCATACTTAGTATTAATGGAAAAGAATCTGAAAAAGAATATGTGTGTGTATACAGGTATAACTGAATCACTTTTCTGTACACTTGTAACATTGTAAATCAACTGTACTTCAATTAAAAAGAAAAAGTATCATTGGTTTTGGGGATATAGTTTCAGCTAAGAGGGCAGAAACCACAGTGAAGTGGGATTAAACAGACACTGATGGGTCGGGAGCAACATTGTAGTCTGGTGGAGAGGGAAGCACCGGAAGCCTATGGAGAGGGACTAGTAGGTTAGGGTAAAAATGGAGCAGTCAAGGGACTGGGAGTCTTAGTGAGGTCAAGAAACAAGGTAGCAGGAATAAAAATATCAGAACTAGAAAAATAAAAGTTTGTGGTATGATGTTTAGGGTTCACAAGGAGGAGTTTTCTGGATGGTGATAGGGTTAAGGTTATGACTGGGACCATATGGCTGCAGGGAGGTACAGGGGACGCTCCCTAAAAGTGTGCTCTGAGGATGGGGCTGCAATGTGCGTGGTCTACATAGACACGGTTAGAATCCCCCAGGCAGCTCTGCAGGTGAAATTCTATTGAGGAGAAAGTCCAGAGCCTGAAAGACAAAGATCTTAGAGTAAAGATCTGGCGTAGGACAGGTAGCAGGAAGTGACGAAAAAGGAGACCCTATGAAAGAAGAATAGACGCTGTTTGCTGATCGTTAAAGAAGAGAGTTGGAGATAACTCTGGGGTTTCATTTCTCTGGAAAATCCAGGTTCCATTGGTGCACATGGCTGACACTTGGGAGCTTCTGAGTCCAGTTTGGATTTTTGTTGTTGTGCCTTGACTTCGAGGAGACCTCTTGAAAGCATTTGGGGCAGTTGGAAGCCCAAGGTTTTGTAACACTTGGACCATTCTCTCTCACAGGAACCGTTGACAAGCACTCAGTGGAAGTCACCAATTGCTTCTCAGTGCCACACAACGAGTCAGAAGATGAGGTGAGTGGGGATTTGAGATCCCCATATGGTCTGTAGCTATCCATTTGCCAGACTCTGTGAGGCCCTCCTACACCAAGGGTGTCGTGCTCATAACTAAAACTGCTGTTCGTTCAAAGAGCTTTGTCCCATTTGGACATACTTGCCAGGCCTCTTCTCTTTGTTGGGAGTGGCCTCTTGTCTTGTTCACCCATTTTGCTGTGGACTTGTGGCTTCTTAGCTTTCTTTCTTGCCCTTCTTCTTAGGTGGCTGTTGACATGGAATTTGCTAAGAACATGTATGAGTTGCACAAGAAAGTCTCTCCAAACGAGCTCATCCTGGGCTGGTGAGTTGGGACGGGGGTGGAACGTCTCAGTGGTTGATTGCCAGTGCCTTTTGCCACCTGACTAGGTAGCGTACTTCCTTTTTTGGAGACAGGGTATTGAATGTGTATTATCTCAAGGAGCTGGCAATTCTGTGTGTTTTGTTGGTAGTTCTGATCCTGTGAGGCCAAGAATACTCATTTTGAGCTGCAGCTTTTGCTGAGCAAGTCGTTTTTACCTCGCTGGTGACTTAAGAGTTTTTCATGAGGTTTTAAGTCAGCCTTATTTTATTTGATTTAATAAAATTATCAGTGTGCTTTTTTTTTTTTCCTTCGATGTTGTCCCTGGGGGTGTAACTACCACAAGGGTGTCAGGTACCCAGAGACACCCATGCCACCATCCTGTTTAGTGTTGATGTCACGTGTAGATATGAGTCCACAGCTCTTCCATTTTCCAGGTACGCTACAGGCCACGACATCACGGAGCACTCGGTGCTGATCCATGAGTACTACAGCCGAGAAGCCCCCAACCCCATTCACCTCACAGTGGACACCAGTCTCCAGAACGGCCGCATGAGTATCAAGGCCTATGTCAGGTGACCAGGGGCTGGGCCGCAAGGGCATGAAGCCTCCTTCATCCATGCTAGCCCTGGTGACACCCGCCTCTACCCCATGCTGGTGTCATCCTTCAGTTTGCAACTTGCTGCCTCCTGAGGAGGCCCCTGCCTCATTCTCGGCAGTTATCACTGGAGAGGTTTTACTCAGAAAGAAACTGTCCCTGAAGTTACCACTTGCTGACCCTTGCCTGCCCAGACTTCTGCTCATTGCTCATAGCCAGTTTCCAAGGGCAGCCCTTTAGGTATCTGAGCAAGCTTGTTTTTCCTGTCATCTTTTCTAGAAGCTAACTCATACACAGCTCCTACTGCTGATCCTCACATGGTGTGCTGGCCAGGATTCTTCTCCATCTTCACTGATTTTCTGAATTGCCCTTAGGTTTGTCATTATCCCTAAAACTGTGCATAGAACACAGGGCAGTACAGAATAAGAATGGCTGTCTTCATCTTGAACATGTCCGTTAATCTTGGTTATAGTACAGTTTGAATGACCGTCATATTGCCCTGTTGGCACATTGGGCTTGCAGGCAACTAGAATGCTGGGTGATGGGGGATGTTGGGCTGGATGATGGGAGAGGCTGTAGTGGCGTGCCAGAAAGGCGGCAGCTATAGGAGTTGAAAGGATTATATTTTCTCCTTGGAATGACGCCCTTTGTTAGTGCGTCTCTTACTGCATTTAACTTTATGCTGTTTCTGTGTCTGACACTGAGGTGGCTGGTTAACCATTACGTGGTGGGACAAAGGTGGTACATGTCAGTTCTTACAGGGCCAGTTATTATACCACTAAGTTCTAGCTGTTGCCTGATTTCTTAGCCTCTCCAAATATTTCACACTCCTGCAGATGCAATGAAAGTGTATAGTTGACTCAGTAAAGACAGTCACCTTTACTGAGATTAATTATTGCACCCAGTCTAATCTTGATGGACCAGAATTGATTTTTTTTTTTTCCAGTGCTGATGAGTACTTTTCGGTCCCAGATGAGACCTGTCCTGTCACTTCTTTCTGTGGGAAGGATGTCTAGGCACCGAGTTCCACAGGGATATTCAGTGTCCCGTCCTCTTCACTGAGATTTCAGTGTGTGAAGTAATCCTCTGGAAAAGGGTCCAGGCCCCGTCCAAATGCTGAGTCCATTCTTTCAGGCCAAGAGTTTGGTGTGTGGAAAGAGCTAAGGGAAGAAAGTGGCTTGTTCTCTTTAGACCTCTGGGCTTCATCTGGTCCAGCCTTCTCATCTCAGAACCTTGGAAGCCATACTGTTGATATGACTGCTTTCCTAGCCGGGACCAAACATGGAAACTGCCCCCCAAAGCCATCTGTTAACCTTGACTTCTGTCTCCCCAGCACTTTAATGGGTGTTCCTGGGAGGACCATGGGGGTGATGTTCACCCCTCTGACAGTGAAATACACATATTACGACACTGAACGCATTGGAGGTAAGTGACCTCCCATTTCTAGGTCCTGGACATTTTTCAAGGGAGGGGATTTCTATATAACAAGGATGGAAGACCTTGGGTGGGTTAAGAGCAACCCTTGATCTAAGGTTTGTGTGGGACTCGAGGAGTTATTTGAGAAATTGTTAGAGGTGGGAAATCATCAGCCCCAGAGGCTACGTGGCCATTCATATAAGACCAAAACCAGCAATTAGCACCCTAGGTGCAGGGGTTGAGCTCTCTGAGAAGGAAGAAAAGCTAGTAAGGGCAGAGCAGGGGGAGTTCGGGGAAGCTAACTGAGTCCAGAAGGAGGTAGTCTGAGCCCTGCTTCCTGATGAGATGGCTGAATTCTCTGCCTCTTCTACCCCACCCACTCCCACAGTTGACCTGATCATGAAGACCTGTTTTAGCCCCAACCGGGTGATCGGCCTCTCCAGTGACTTGCAGCAAGTGGGCGGGGCTTCCGCTCGCATCCAGGACGCCCTCAGCACAGTGTTGCAGTATGCGGAGGACGTGCTGGTGAGGATGGGAGGGAGACAGGAGGAGGAGGGTGTGGGTCTCCACTGTGAGACGGCAGGGGCTGCGCTGGCGAAGTCACGGTCTCAGAGACAAGAATTAACGTGCCGCATTGACTCTCTTGGTGCTCAGTCTGGAAAGGTGTCAGCCGACAATACTGTGGGCCGCTTCTTGATGAGTCTGGTTAACCAAGTACCCAAAATAGTTCCCGAGGACTTCGAGACCATGCTCAACAGCAACATTAACGTGAGTGTTGTCCCTGGGCTTCTGGGAGCCTGCGCCTCAGCACGTACACGTGTGAAGGAGGGTGGGGAGGTGGCCTGGAGAAGGCAGAGGAGGCAGGGCAGCGCCTTTGGCCCCCTCGCAGTCCAGGCTGTGAGGAAGAAAGCACAGGTGTTCAGAGATTCTCCTCCTGCTATGTTTTGCTTCCCATGGCTCAGGTGTATCAGAGATGAAATGGTGTTCTCAGGCATTTCCTTTTTGTCTTCCTCCTACTCTTGATCAGCCTCTCCCAGCTTTCATTTGCCCAGGACTGCCTTACCCTCAGTGACCATCATACAGCTGGCCAGCCTTTCCAAATCTCTACCCAGCCCCGCACTCATCCTGGACTCCTTCTCTTCCAGGACCTGTTGATGGTGACCTATCTGGCCAACCTCACACAGTCACAAATTGCCCTCAATGAGAAGCTTGTGAACCTGTGAAGGGGCCGCGGGCAGCCCTCCTGCCACACTGGGCCCCAGCCAACCCCAGATGGAGTGAAGGAGAAATGGTGTCTTTGTGATCTGAGTCACACTGAGTCAATCAACTGCTTGTGACTCTAAATAAACATAGACTACCTTTTGTAAGTGAATTCCATCTAATGTGAGTTTCCCTCTGGGTGGAAGGGAAAAGGCAGTTCTGGAGCTCACCCAGGAACCAGGAAGTGAGTACTTTGGTGGAAGCTGGGTCGTGTTTGTGTGGCCTGAATCCAGGTCTGGATTTTTTTATGCCACTATCTGCTTCATGGTTTAGTGGCCCAGTGAAATAATTGCTCTCAAAGAGCAAAAATATGACATAATGGGAATATAAGGGCTGACCGGAGTCTGTCAAAGTCTATGTAAGACATGATATCTGAGCTGATGTTTTTTTTAAAAAACCAGGAAATCTGGAAAGAGTGATTAGGACAAAGGAAGTACATGGAAAATTGCTTAACCTGTTTAGAGTAGGAGCCAGACCATGAGGGCCCACAACCTGTGGAGGTTGGATTTTTATCTGGGAAGTTGTGGGAAGGCATTGGGTAATTAGATTTGGATTTCAGGAAGATTACCGGGTACTGGTGTAGAGGTAGGAGGGAAAGGGAGAAAAACAGAAGGCAGAGGGTCGCCATGATTGTCAAGAGATGACGCAAGGCCAGGTTCAGGCCGGGCCTTGAGGATGAAAACAGAGACTTGGGTTCAGGAGGCAGACTCCAAGGAGGACCTGGAGTCTGGTTGACATTTGGATGGTGAGATGGGGGCAGTCTGGGATATTGTCTGGTTTCTGATAAAGGTGATAGAAGGGCTGGTGATATATGAAAACCCTGGCTACTCAAGAGTGGTGGAAGCTGAGAATGCAGAGGTAGGGTTACAGGGTAGTTTACCAAATGGTGAAGTCTTAAATGCAAATAAATATGACTTATTTTGTAAACTGGGGCCACACCAAGTGTTTTGAGGAAAGGCTGAAGAACTCAAGTTACGTGTTGCCTCATGTATTACTTATCAAATGCTAACCAGTGTGCTAAGCAAGAGGTCCTGGTACCTGCTTAGAACCTGTAGGGGGTACAAAGAGACCATCACTTTGAGAATCATGAGATGTTACAGGTCGTGGAAGACTTCCAGTTAGGAAATGAAACCTAAGCTGGACTTGAAGAATGAGGAGGCGGCAGATTGAAAAAGAAAAGAGAGGAAAATAGGGCATTCTAGACAAAAAACAGCATGTGCAAAGGCTTGGAGGAAGACTGTCACCTAACGTTGCTCCATTGTTGCCCACCCTGGCCACAGAGTTGTCTATAAGACAAGAACACTTCTCTGTGCCTGCAAGGATGCTTGATTTTTTTTTTCTCCAGGCTTTGCCTATATGTGCACAAGTTTGTTTTTTCTATGAAATGTGTTTTCACACATTCTCTTTGTGGTTGTGCCTGTGCTGAAAACACTGCAGTGTGTCTGGGTGTGACATGTGTTACTTGAATCCTATGATACCGTACTTCCCTGATTTTCTCCCAACACCCTTAACAAACTGGTCCTTCCTCCTCTGACACCCCCCCTATCCCATCCCACCCCCAACAAGTTCCATTCCCCAGGGTTCCATCTTGGGCCCTCTGCCTGAAAGAGCTCAGGAAAGCCTGGGACTGATTACTCCATCTGTGTTGACAATGCCTAGGCTCCAATGCTGGCTGAAATTCAGAACTGGTTTCCTGGTTCCAGAAATACCATATCTCTCACCTGGATGTCTCAGAAGCATCTTAAATTCAGCATGTTTCATATTCAGTTGAGTGTCTCTTCCTCCCCAACAAATCACTTCCTCAGGGAATAACACAACCATGTACACAGTTGTCAAAACCTAGAAACCTTGGGTGAATCCTTAATTCCCCCACCCACCATCATGCCTGAAACAGTTCATCACAACTCAGCCATCCTTCTTGCCGTTTGTGATCCTATGATATAATAAACAAATTTTTTCATCCATGTTGCTAGATTCCTGGCATGCAATTCTTAAACCCTTTGGAATTTCCTAAGTAATAAGACCTATAAAGATAGAGAATCTTATCTCTGACCAGCTTCTTTCAACTGCACCTGAGTTTATGCTAATGGAATGATGTTTGTAAAGCAGCTGGATCACCACAGAATGGGGGCTGGTTGCCAAGTAAATCAGCCATGTGATTGGAGCGTATTACATTCAGCTCAGGGAGGGGAGAGGGGCTGAAGTTTGGATCAATCCATGAATGAACACTGGTTCAATCAGTTGTGCCTATGTGATGAGGCCTCCATTGAAAGCCCAGAGTTTGGAGAGCTGGATTGGTGAACAGGAACGTGTCCAGGAACAAGACACATACCAGGAAGACTGCACATAAACTCCACAGGGACAGGGACCTCTGCTCAAGACCCTCCAGGCTTCACGCTGTGCCTCTTCATCTGCCATTTAGTCACATCCTTTAATGTCTTCTAACAAAGCAGTAACAGTAGGTAGACTTCCTGAGTTCTGTGAGCTGCTCCAGCAAGTTGACTTAATCTGAGGAGGCAGTTGTGGGAACCTCCAGTTTATAGCCAGTGGACAAGAAGCTCTGGTGTCAACCTGTACTTGTGATTGGCATCTGAAATGGAGGTGGGAGGGTAATATGGAGGTGAGGCAGTCTTGTGGGACTGAGACTTTTAGCCTTAGGGTCTGGTGCTGACTCCAGGCAGATGGTGTCAGAACTGAGTTAGATTGGAGAATGCTCAGCTGGTGTCTGGGCATCACTTGGTGTGAGGAAATCAGCTGCACTTCTAGTCATAGACGTGTTTGATGTGGTCAGTGTGGAGTAGAGGGAGACGGCTGCCCTGTTGCCCCTCTTCCATCCGTTCTCACAGCAGCCACACTGCCCTTATAAATCCAACCAGGACAAACCGATGATGAAGTTCATAGGTATCTACTGCCAGGGTGAAGTCACACTTCTGCCACAGTCTGTAGGCTCAGCATGGCCTTGCCTGGCTCTTCGGCTTCATCCGTAAACTCAGGCTGGACTCCCTCTGCTCTGCCCTCTGCCTGGAATACAGCACCTCTAGCTGGCTTAGTACTGCTGCTCTAGGTTAGTCTAGATGCTGCCGCCTCTTGGAAAATGCTCCCGTGCCATGATCCCACAACTGTCTCCTACTTAGCATCTATCTCACCGTTTGGACTTGTCTGTTTACCCTCTGTTAAAACGTAAGCTCTGTGAGGGCCAAGACTGACTGTTCTGTTGGCTGTTAGATACCAGAACAACCCAAACAGATTCAGTTCTCAGTAAATGTGTGTGACATGAATAAATGAATGGATGGCTTGTAAGATAATTACCTCAAGACACACTGGACATAGTAAGCTCATCGGGGGCATTGGGGTCCTGTGGAGAGGGCCAGAGGGAGAGGGCACACCAGACAGGCCATTCGTTTAACTCAGCCTACAGGTGTCAGTATTGCGTGATGTTCATGTGTGCCAGACGTGTCAAGCTGGGGGTACAGAAGTAGGTGAACCATGTTCTCTACCCCCTGCCCCGAGTTTCAGTCTTAAAGTGGAGAGACTAAATAGGACAAAATGGATTAATTGCTATTAACAAAAAAGATAAGAATGTCTTCGGAAGACACAGTAGAGGGCAGGCTTAAATCTGCCTGAAAGCTAGAGAGGGACTTCAGTCTTGAAAAACACTGGGAATTGACTGGGCACAAAAGAGGAAGTGCTTTGAAGAAAGTAGGGTAAAGATCAAACTATTACTCAGTTTTATAATGGTCTGTGTATAGGGAGTTGTGTTTCCAAGGATGTAGCAGCCTAGAGGGAAACATAGGAGTTGCCATGATAGCCACAACAGTTTCTGTTACCCCGTCCTCTCTGGGGACACCTGCTTCCTCAGATCCTCCCAGAATCTCAAGTTCTTTGAATCAGGAGTCAATTTTGACATTTCAACTAGATTTTATGAAATGTGGGCAGGCTAAATAACTTTTTTATGTTGGACATGTGGGTTATTTCCAGTCTTGTGCTGACATTCCTTGATGAACGACTGTGTGTGCAGACGTGACTGTCTGGCTTTACACTTCTTTGGGGTGATCTGTGTCCCCTACTCTGTGACACATGTTGTCACCCAGGAAGTCCACACAGTACCGCCCAGCCTCTGCAAGGGGAAGAGACTTTGAGAATAAGTCACAGCTTCCACTCGCCCTCTCTTCGCTGTGGAGGGACGGAGTGAGAGGCTGAGGGGACCAGAGACCATATGACCCCAGCCTCTGCCCTCCATGGGTCCGTAATCACCATAACCTCTCCTCCGTCAGCCCAAACCAGAGTGCTTTTGGGGGGAAAAAATATATAGCTTTGGAGAGCATGGGAGGGACATGGAAATCTGCACACGGTTCCCTGTTCTAACTCCAGCCTGCCTCCTCAATTGGGCTCTGCTGGAGTCCCTGGAGAGGGAATAACTTCAGAGCTTTGTCCCTGGGAAAAGCTGGGCTAGGGAAGTACTGGGAGGCCTTTACAAAGAGGTCTCTGGCAAGGACCAGAAAGCTCTGGATCCTGTGAAGAACATGGCCCACAATCACTGGTGGACCTATGAGGGAAGCGGGCATAGGGTCTTACTGGATTCTTGCTCTGGCCAAGAAGGATTGAACAGATACACTGAGTCACCCCACCTCCTAAGGCGGGGAGTCTGAGGCAAGGCTTCAGCAGGAGGTGGCATCTTGTTTGGCTCTGCTCAGCCTGTTCTAGGCAGAAAGACCATTTCATCTTCCAGCACCCACAGAACTCATAGAGATGGTCAGGCTGTGCTCCAGCAAGCCCTGCTGTTGCTGGGACTTCATTCACATCTGATGAAATCAGCATTTCTCCCACATACTAGCCATGGTCAGCATTTCCAGGAATGTTCAAACAGGGCCCAGCTGCTGGAACTGAGTTGCCTTTACACTCACTAATGTCTAGGAATCCATTCAAGCTCTTAGAGGGCTAATAAAGTCCTGCTTTGTCCCCC